CGCTGGGCATAACTAGCTATGCACCTTTTGTTTTTAGAAAGAATATTTCAAAGGGGGAAGTATACTTTTCAAAGGTACCCACGGTAAGAAACTAAAGTGGGGGCGGGTTAATATCGCATCTTCTATTCATGATGAAGGAGGGTTAAAGCATATGGATGAAACTAAAAGGAGAGGGGATTAAAGGGCCGTCATTCAGGGCAGGGTTCTTAATGGGTAGGAGCTGCTTAATGTGAGGTTCATGCTTCCAAGATTCCAGCCAAATCATCCTCTGTGTCCACAGACCATCTAGACCCTCAACGATACGATTTCTGCTTTCTTGTTACTGAGTCACCATTTCCTTAAATGAGCTGGACTCAAACGAGTGCAAGCAGAAAGCAATTATACTATTTTTTATGTGCTAAGTTGAATGCTTCTGTGCTCCTGGATGAAATCTCAGGCAGGTCCTATGAAATTAACAAAAGCCTCATTTTTCAGATAATAAAAACATCCAGTTCAATCCAAGATTCAAATTTGTCATACAATTTAGACTCTTCTCTTCTTGCCAGGTTGGGCCTGATACAAGATAAGGAGCTGGCGGTGGTGTAGGAGCTGGTTGGCTTCATCACTGCTTAAAATCCTTCTCAATTCAGGCTCCCACAGAACTGGAGGGGAGTGAAGGACAGGACGGGGGCAACAATGAGCTCCCTCGGTGGAACCACTGCAGTCTGGTGTCAGGATGCTTTTGTCTCTTACGTAGCACTTCCATGGGTTCTTTGGGGGTCTTCCCTTGGCACCTTACCTAACATCATGTGGGTCTCCAACCTGCAGTTCTTTTAATGACGCCAAAGTCACATCCAGCCAGCCACTCTCCACTACCCTAGTAGCCCCTGGTGCACCCCTAAGTCAGGTACCTTCCCTCCAAGCCCTGTCTCTTTGCTCCCTGGCAGAGGCAGCTGAAAGCACATCTTTTCCTTGGGTTTTGCAGATGGAAGGCAGCTACCAGTCTGCACTCACACAATTCTGAGCCTCACAGATAAAGCTCTCTGAGTTTTGAAGTCTCTCTCGCTTCGCTTAAGATGATGGGGAAATATTGTCTGCTTCCTCCCAAGCAGGTGGATGGGGTGGGGCAGAATGGTGGGAATGTCCAGCTCCTGCCAACTCTCTTCAAACTAATCCTTGCCACTGACTGCTTCAAGCTCCTAATAAGTTCCCAGCTTCCTCTTTGAAGCTCTAGAGCTGGGTGACAGAACAGTGCCAGCCTCACACAGATTATCTAACACCATCTTAGGGTAGTTCTCAGCTTGGGGGCCTCACCCGAATTTCCATACAGGAGGAATATCCTGTGGCTATTTAATTACAGTGACTCCTTAGGACACTGTCATAGACGGTAAAAGTGGACTAAAATGTCATTTGTCGTTGGAGAGCGTCTACAAATCTAATTGTGCTAAATGTTGACTTCATTTTACTCCTGGATTCATTTCTCAGGAGAACAAGGAAGACTGCAAAGGACAAGTGCTCTGAACTTGGTATGAGTGTTCTGAAGGGAACGCTGGGCATAACTAGCTATGCACCTTTTGTTTTTAGAAAGAATATTTCAAAGGGGGAAGTATACTTTTCAAAGGTACCCACGGTAAGAAACTAAAGTGGGGGCGGGTTATGAGGCACTCTGAAAGACAGAATTACAACTAGGATCTGGGGGCTAGAAGGAAAGGGCAACAAGCTAGAAAGAAAAGACAAGGTCCGGAGACTCAGGCAAAGGACGAGCCTGAATCTGGATGCCAAGTAGAAAGAAAAAATAAAGACCAGGATGAGCTGAAACTTGTAAACAGTAAGGACAGCACAATGTTTTATGTTTAATGCACTTAACTGCTGCATGCTAGACTCTGTTCTATGCACTTATATTTGCACCATGATAACCGTACTATGATTATCCTCATTGCACAGGTGGGGAAATGGAGGTGCAGAGATGTAAAGCGAATTGCCCAGTGGCCGTCAGCTGGTAAGAACTCAAACCCAGGCACCCAAGCTGTGTCTGAAGCCCCTGTTAGGGCATCCACTTTGCTCTGAGCTTTAGAGGTCATGGATTATGTTTTGCTCACATTGTAATCCCAGCATTTAGACTGATGTCTGGCAAGCAACATACATTCCAAGTTTGTTCAATTAAGTAGCACAGAGCAACAGGTAGAACCAAAGCCTCCTGTGTCCAAGTTTTGCCCAAGCCCCCAAACCAAAGACAATGGATGAGAAGCACCATCCCCGTTCAAAGGGGAGGGGCCGACCACGTGATTCTGAATTTAGACAGAGGAGACCAAGCGACCCAACAACCTCCCGTGCATCGGAGGAGGCTCGTGGCTCTTAGAGGGAAGAAAGATTTCTTTGGAGAGAATGCCTAGAACCAGAGAGAGAGCCCTGTGGTTTCCCTGCCCCTCCCCCACCTCCCACTGGCTCCAGGATAAGTGAAGAGGGAGATGCGAGTGGTTTTCAGGAGCGGGGTCTGACAGCCCACTCGCTGGCCCACATGCTGGCTGATCTGCTCAAACTCTCCAGCCTTCCCCTTGCTGTGGCTGGACTGATGGTCCAGGAGGGCTCCTGGGAGAGCTTGAAACGTGGCCCTTGGGTATCCTGGTCATAAGACTTGGGGCCTGACTCTGCTGAAGCGGCCAGAAGGAGGGTGCTGTGGATGATCTCCCCCCACCCCCCAACACTGAGGGCCAGGAGAGAAGAGCGGGCAGAGAGAGAGGTGCCCGCCAGGCCTCAGTTTGGAAAGGACCACTGTCGAGAGGGCCGCGGGCTTGGGGGAAGGGAGCCCAGGGCAGAGTGCAGAGAGGAAGAGAGGAGGGGCTCCTAAACGGGCCTCCCCAAGTGCGCGGCCCCTGACGGGGGCTGAGGTCCTTGTCCAGCTTCGAGGTGCATCTAGGGGAAGGGCGGTGATGGCGGGGTGGTAGCGCTGGGGAGGTTCACTCAGCAAACCCACAGAAGGATCCCAGAGGAATTGTCCAATATATGTGCATAAGCAACGAGAGGAAGCATATATACTGCACAGGGCCCTTCCACTGCCCGGGCTCTGGCCCCAGGGGACCCGGAAGCACTAGTGGCCCCTCTGGCCCCAGGGGGACCCGGAAGCAGTAGAGAGAGCAGGGGACGGACAGAAAGAAGGAGCAGGTCTGACCTGAGCTGAGGTGGGGAGGCAGGGAGAGAAGGGACAAGCTTCTGTTGGAGGACAGAGTNAGAGAGAGCAGGGGACGGACAGAAAGAAGGAGCAGGTCTGACCTGAGCTGAGGTGGGGAGGCAGGGAGAGAAGGGACAAGCTTCTGTTGGAGGACAGAGTAAAGTTCTGATCTGGAATATACTGGACTTTCCTGGTGGCTCAGATGGTAAAGAATCGGCCTGCAATGCAGGCGACCAGCGTTCGATCCCTGGGTTGGGAAGATCCCTCGGAGAAGGGAGTGGCAATCGACTCCAGTATTCTTGCCTGGAGAATTCCATAGACAGAAGAACCTGGCGGGCTTCAGTTCATGGGGTCACAAAGAGTCGGGGATGACTAAGTGACTAACACTTAAACTTACTTAATGACTTGAGAAAGAATGTTGTTAATCTTTAAATGGGCATTTAGGCAAGAATATCCCGAGATTAATTTTCCAGAATATTGTTAAAAGGCTTTGATTTAATCAGACACATCTGAGTTTTAATCCACGACTCCCAAATTCAAAATATTGGGCTTCCCTGCTGGCTCAGACGGTAAAGAATCAGCCTGCAATGCGGGAGACCTGGATTCGAATCCTGACTTGGGGAGATGCCCTGGAGAAGAGAATGGCGACCCACTCCAGTATTCTGGCCTGGAGATTTTCATGGACTGTAGGGGGTTGCAAAGAGTTGTACACGATTGAGTGGATTTCACTTTCACTTTTTAGACTTGAAGGGGACCAAAGCATTCTAAAATCTGCCTGAGATGACACAAAGGCCTGGGGAGGGAAGAGTTGACTGGGTGGCATTAAGGGCCAGCAATCATGGCAGGGGAGCCAAAGCTCTCTCCTATTTCACTCCAGCCTATTCAATAACCAGTTACACAAGGAAGGGAGGGCAGGGCTGAATGCTAACAGATAATGCTGTGTTTTCTCGGTCCTAAGACACGCTTTTCTTTTTTTTAACATTAAAATATTTCAGAAATCCAATCCCTTGTAAATCCCAGTGCACATCTATTATTTTTCCCCTAAAAAAAAAAAAAAAACATTTTTTGAACTACTGCTGTCTTCAAATATATTGCATTTTAGGATTAAGATTATTTTGCAATGTAGAGCTCTCTAGAGGTTTTACAGGCTTTTCAATGCTCTCACTTGCAGGATTGCAAGTTCAATGTCACTCTCTGACCTTCATGCTCTAGGAAGCTGTGCTGTCCAGCCTGGGGTGCGGGTGTCAGGAAAAGGGTAGGACAGGAGGGAACAGGGATTGGCCTGAGACTGTAGGCAGAAAGCACAAGGAACTCCCAGAGATGTGCCTGCAAAAGATGTCCAGGAAACCACAGAATAACCCAAGGGTACTAGTCCGAAGAGTGAGATGGGGACCAAAGTCCATAGTAAAGATTGGCCACACAAGATTGTGAGAGTAAGTAAGCTTGGAGAAATTTGTAAAGAAAGGAAGCTTTAAAAGCTTAAACATGTTGTAAATCAACTATACTAAAATAAAAAAAATTTTTTAAGTTTAAAAATGGGTTTTTATTCATCTGCTGATGGACATTTACATTGTTTCCATGTCTTGGTTATTGTGAATAATGCTGCTGTGAATATGGGAGTACAGATTCTCTTCTGGACAGTGATTTCATTTCCTTTGGATAAATACCTGAGTGGAATTGCTGGATAATATGGTAGTTCTTATTTTTACATTTTTGAGGAAACTGCATATTGACTTTCATAGTGGCTGCACCAATTTCCAATCCTACCAACAGTGCATAAGGGTTCCTTTTTTTGCCACATCCTCACCAACATTTGTTATCTATGTGAGTTGACTGATGTTAACTAAACTTAGTGTGGCAGTCATTTTGCAATATATGCATATATCAATCATTATGTTTTACATCTTGGACTAACACAATGTTATATGTCAATTATATCTCAATAAAACTGAGGAAAAATAAACTATGGCAATAAAAATGTTTTTAAAAGGGTAATAAGTGCCTTTGATTGAATCCATGGACAGAAAGAGAACTTAAGAAGACTGAGATGGTATAGTCACAACTACAGAAAATTAGCCTAAGAAAAAATTAAGTTGAACACTATAAAGTAGGGTTAAGCAACTTGTCCAACATAACAACAACTAATAAACAACAGAACTAATTACTTCCAATTTTTCTTCAATTTTATCCCTTTATACGAAAGATCTCCAAAATGAAAAAGAGTAAAAACAAAAGATGCACTGAAGGAAAATAAGGCTTAGAGGGGTAAAGAAATAGTAAAAGAAAACAAACAAACAAACAAACTCAAAGACAAAAACCACCTAGCTCTAGATTGGAAACACTAAGTTCCCACACAACCACTCTTTTCATGGGAGCCAGTGACAGATCATGGCCCAGGGCGAATGGCATGACTTGGAGAAGGTTTAAGAATCCTGCCAGCTCAATGCCTCCCTCAGGCAATCACCGCTGACTGCTCCCATGAAGCTGCCTCTTCTATGCCAGTTGCCCCCTCCCCAGTTTAGACAAGGTCTTAAAGAGTCTAGAAAGAACTTAGAGGCAGATCCCAGAACCCTGGTTATAATCTCTGAGACATTCTTTGGGGAACAGGATCTTCCAAATTTTGAAAAGATGAATTTCAAACCTAGGAGCAAGAAGATTGTTATTTCCTGGTACAATTTGACAATCAAATATTAAACAGAAAAATTGAGGCTACTTAGAAAATAAGGAGCTGAGAGATCACAAAAGCAGGCGTGTAATACTAACCTCATTAGTTTTCATAGCGCTCATATCGTAGCACGTAAGGGGAATCGCAGGCACAGCAAAGCACTTGCTAAAGTTCCTTAAAAACAGATAGAAGTGTATTAATTGGATGAAATATGGTTTGGTAAATTCATATGTAATTAAAAACCTGCATCAAAAGAGAATAAGCAGTTCTGGGAGTGGATATTAATAAATCATTGTCAAAAGAGAGGGAGCATTTATTCTTTATTAAGGATTGATTTATTTTCTTGCTTTTATGGCCATCAAAATTCTTATTAATGATTCGGAACAATAGAAGAAATCTATTGGTGGAATGACCTAAAATTTCGGAGAAGACTGGTTATTTGGGTAAATAACATATGGATGCTCTTCATTCGTAACTCAGGATAATTTAAACTGCTTGTTTATGAAGAATGGTTTGTAGAGCATTTTAATTTATACTGAAATACTTTTCAGGTGATGGGAGCAGACTTTTGTGCTAATGGATGCCACCTTCAACAATCCCAGGTCCTTTGGTGATAAATTATGGATATTGCTTCATAGTCATAAAAGTTTTATGAATTTTAGAGTATCATGTAATCAGTCTTGGTGCCACTTTTAGTTGTTTCTTCTCGCTAAACCTTCTGAGCTCTTTCAAGACATGATAAATCATGGTATTTCGACTTTTAGCCCCACTACCTCTATTTTCTGAATATGGTCTAAGTTTATCAATGTCCCTGTAAAGATGTGGCAGCTAATTATCAACTCCTATTCTCCAGATAAGGCTGAATCACCTAAGAGCACAGTGTAGTGATGTCCAGCCTTGATTCAGAAACTGTCCTTCTGTGGAAACTGTCCAAGATCATGTCAACTCTTCAGTACACGCTTCATGCCTCTGGTTCTTAGTGAGTTGTTAACAAAAGCTCTTGTGTCTGTTTCATTTGAACTGCTGTTGAAACAAATATCCGCCCTGTTGTCACTGTTGATATTTTGGAAACTGAATTCATGGCTCTATCTTCATTCCTGCTACATTTTAACTTATGAATTTCAGCATAATAGCCTTAAAATTTAAATGTAGCACCAGTGTATGAAGACCACTCTAACAAGAATATTTACCTTGCACACACACGTACACACAAAAGCCCGGAAAATTTGAGTTTGCTGCCTATCATCACATGGAGATTGCCATCGGTTCATGGATAAATTTTAGGGAGTGCAGAGTTCACAACATCAGTGCCAACCCTCACCCACAGTCGTCTTCTCTATCAATGACAACCTAAAGCCACACTCTCTGTTAGAAGACTTAGCTTGCTCTAAGAATTCTGAATTAATTCCTAGAAACATAAAATACCCTTAAAAGGCAAAGAGTACGCTTCCTGTCCAGTCCATCTTAGCCAGGGTTTCTCTCCAAAAGCAAGGATGAATTTGAGGGGAATCCAAGGGGTGGGAGTAAGGTCACACTCTCTGCCTTTCTCTTGTCCTCTTTCTCTAGGGGTTGTTGTCCTGCAATGCCAGCAGACTTCTCACTCTCCACTGCCCATGGTGATTTGAGAGCATCAAGGTTCCAAGCACAGTGAGCTTGGAAGGGCATGTCTGCTTTCTAATACGGCGGAGTTCAACCCTCTCTCATTTGTAGAATGAAAATAATAACATGGAATTAAATACATCAACGCCATTGTCTCCAACACGCCCTGATGGGGTGTGTCTCCTCATCACCCCTCTGAACGCTCTGGTTAGGGCCAGCAGCACCTTCCCAGGGGACGTCGGTGACCCCTCGTCTCATCTCACTTACCCACAGCCGCTGACGTGGTTGATGGTTCCCTCTGTCTTGAGCACCTCCTTGCTTCTTCGTTTGCAGAATAACTGCTGACTCTGTTTTTCCTTCCACCTCACTGGTTACATCTTCCTCTCTGTTTTGAATTCCCCCTCCTTTTCTAGACCTTGACATGCCCTAGAACCCAGGGCTGGGACCTTGCTTCTAACCCCACACGCGCTCAGGTCATTTGTCTGGTCTGTGATTTTCACCACCACCAATGCTCTCATTTGTGTTCTTAGTTGGACGCCTCCCTGGCATTGCCGCCTTGGGCTCTTTACTGAGATTATCATGAGCAACTGCCACTGAATAACATCCTGAACTGAACTGCCCCCTCCAGCTCTTCCCCTGAACAGCTCTTCTGACACTTCCACCATCTCAGTAAATGTCAACTCCAGCCATGACGTTGCTCAGGACAAAATCCTTGGGACCATCTGCAACTTCACATGTACCACATCCGGTCCATCAGCCAACCCTGCAGTCTCTATCTTCAGAGATAACCAGGGCCTGAGCACCACCTATGCGGGCCCTGCCTCAGCCCACAGCCACCATCCCCTCCAGCCTGGATTGCTGTCCTAGCCATCGAATTGGCCCTCTGATTTCCACCCTGAAATCCTAGTCTATTTTCAGCACAGCAGCTGGAGGATGCATTTAAAACAAGTCATTCCCATGGTCAAAGCCCTCTAGCGTGCTCCCGTCCAACTCAGAGTAAAAGCCCATGCCCTTGCAGATCCTGAAAAGTCCCTGCTTAGCTTCCTCCCAGCCCCCTCTGTCTCAGGCACGCCTCTCCCTCTTGTACACATCACCCCTCCCTTCCTTGATTTTTCTCAGCTAGGCCAAGCACACCCCACCTCAGGACCTACGTACTGGTGTTTCCTCTGAATTGTCCTGTTTGCTCACTCTCTGCTCAAATGCATCAGTAAGACCTAAATATAGCAACATCTACCCAGTCTCTGTCCATTCCCCTGAACTGATCTTTCTCTGTAGGTTTAGCGTCACTTGATACACGGTATGTTTTCTTGTTTGTTTTGTGTGTGTGTGTGTGTGTGTGTGTGTGTGTGTGTGTTGCCTGGCAGCCCTCAATAAAGTAGCAGAAATTTTGCTTGGCTCACCTCTACAGAGTCTAGATCGGTGCCCGACACAGAGGAGACTGTTGGTAAATCCTTGTTGAATGAATGAATAAAGAAAGAAAAGCCTTTATAACAATACTTGACACGTAAGAAGTCAAGCACTGGATGAATGAATGAACAAACAGCATTTGGAAGTGACTACTAGCACATAGGATGCACTCAGTAAATACTTGTTGAATGAATGAATGAAGGCATAGCAGTAGTAACATGTAGCAACCCATTGACAAGTTTTAACACGTTACTTGAATGTCAAAACTCTAATATCAAATGGTGCTGCTTCTGCCCACACTCCCAAGGACAAAGACCCTCCTTATTTGGCACTGAGAGTAGGAAGGAAAGGAGAATAAAGAATAAATAGGAGTGGGAGGCTCATCCCTGAGAATCAGATGGAACTATTTTAAAGGAAGAATAGAGATGAAGATGTAGAGAGCAGACGTGTGGACACAAAGGGTGGGATGAATTGGGAGATTGGGACTGACATATATACGCTATCATGTATAAAATAGATAGCTAGTGGGAACCTGCTATGACACACAGGAATCTCAGCTTCATACTCTGTGATGACCTAGGCGGGTGGGATGAGGTTGAAGGGGAGGGAGATTCAAGAGGAAGGGGATATATGTATGCCTGTGGCTGGTTCACTTCATTGTGCAGAACCTTACATGATATTGTTATTATATTACCATTTTTAAAAAAGGAGGCCCCAGGATAAGGACCAGGAACTTGAGGACCCTGTGTGGGGTTACTGTTCTTTTCGTGTATGTCTAAGGGGGCTTCCATGATTCTTATCTATTCTGACTGTGGATTTCTGAATATTGGGGAATTAACCTTAGCATCTGTTCTTCCCAGATGTAAAAATTCCTTATTATCAGATGGAGCAACACAGAAGAGAGAAAGTAACTCTTCTGATGCTAAGACTTCTTTTTTGCCCTTGATCTTACTGAATGAAATGATCTTAGTAAATGAACTGTTCAAGAGGCTAACTCTGAAACCCTGAAACTGTAAAGCTGACATATTTGAATTCATAAAAATGTTAGGACTGCTCCAAGAATTTATCAGCTATTGACTTTTTAGGATGAATTGGTTCACTCTGCGTTTTCCCTCCAAACTCGTTGATACCTGTCTAAACTCAAGATTGGGACTTTTGCTTGAGGTAGAAGAAAGATTGAGGGAGAGGAATTTTAGAGCCACGTTGTCAGGAGAAAGAACAGTGGAGGCATTTTTTTTTTGCGAATATATGGGCCTCAGAATGATAGAGTGAAACAGATAGGAGGGTAGCTGTTTAGGGGTGAGGGTGGGATCAAATGTAAATTTCTTCCAAATGAAAACCAGGCGGCTTCCATATTGACTGCGCTCATTGTGTGGGGCCAGGAAAAACCACCTCTCACGACCCCTTTCCAGGGCAATGGTTTGATGTTAATTCAGTTGGGCAGCAGGAACCCAAGGGAAACCTCTATGTAAATGTTCCTCTAAATGTATTTTTTCTTTTTAGTCCTTTGAAGGGTCTCAGTTTACGAGGCAATGTCAATACTCAAGCAATCCGGCTGAAGCATCTGAGTGCAGGGCTCTGTGGCCTGGGACTGGCGTTGATTCAGGAAATGCACAGGTCTGGCAGGCATTTGTCCTTTTCCCTCCTCCTTGCATGGAAATGGTATTCATTTCATAGGTTTGGCTGTTAACTCTGCAAACGCAGCACTGCTGTCTCCTTGCCTTGGCTTTGCAACTGTTTGCCACCCTCCTCAAAGCCTGGGGGAAGGGTCTTTCCCCCGGAGATGCATGAATAAAATTATACACAAGAACCGAGTTTCAAGAAAACTCATGAAGGAAAACCTGAAAGTTGATCAATTAGGGGCTGGCTTCTAATGTTTATTTATAGATTCTCAATTACTTGATGGGTAGTTTGTAAGACCAAAGAAACTTGAAGCAAAAACAACAAATTACCAGGGCAGCTCAGAGAGCTGTGAGGCACTTTTGGAATTTTGGAAAACTTTAACTCAGCTACACAAACCATTACCACCTCTTCAGTGTCCTCTTATATGGTACAGCCAAGGGGTCCACTGCCCCAGCCCTAAGCCTCCCCCCACTATGGAGATGAACCCTCCCACCTTTGAAGCCACCAGTCCATATTTGGTTATCTATACGTGTCAGAAAATTCTTCATCACTGATGAGAACAACCAGCTCAAATGAAAAATCCATTCAAATTCACAAAATTAACTCTGATTCTTTTTAATGACAGTAGGGATAGCTGTAACTATTTCTAGTTTAGTTCTTGAAAATCAGTGTCATCAAAACTCAAAGTCCCAATGTCTATGAGAGTGGTCCCCAGTCCTGCATTACATGCCATGAGCCTTGCAAATAATTTACCTTGTTAGGGATGCTGTGACTAAGAGCTACAAATGATGCAGTTCTTACTATGAGAGGGGCATGACATCAGGTGGAAATGATATGTGGATCATTCCCACAATAGTCCTAGGAAGAAGGTGGCATAACCTTCATTTTTCAGTTGAGGCAGCTGAGAGCTTAGGGTGATGTTACCAGTCAATAGCAGAGCTGAGAGTTGAACCCTGGAGGGTTTGATAACCAAGCTCATGCTTAACCCAAGATGTCCCCTCTAAGCCACTCTTCATGGACCCTTCTGAGCTGGGGTGGATAACAGTGAACAAAGAGGAGCTCTTCGCTGACCACAGAGCAGCCCGCATGAGGCCAGCTCAAAGTCTTTTCTCTTCCGATTTCTCCTCAGCCTAGTAGAAATGTGACCCCAGCTGTCAATGCCTAAAAGAGACTTCAAGAAAGCACTAATAGCTAGTGACATTTCTGGAGTCCCTTAAGACCTGTGATGCATACCTTTATCTTTCATATAACATTAAGTTATATAATAGCAGAATCAAAGAATTTCAGAGTTGTTGGAATTTTGCAGATCATTGAGTCAAAGTTTCCTCCTGATATATCTTCTGGGAATAATCCTATCAAGAGGAAACTAAAGGGTTATTAAAAAAAAAAAAAGGAAACCAATGTGGGTAGCAAATCTAGAATAGTTGCTTTTGCCATGTACCCCTTTGAGGAAGGAAGCATATCTGAGGGCCAGCCTTTGCCTCTGAAGGGTTTGGAGGGCAGGGAGATGAAGAGGAGACAAGTCAGAGAGTCCAAATTAGCCCTGAGGGTCTCTGCCTCCAAGTTCTCATGGGCCAACTCCTGCTTGCACAACTCTGTAGGTTGAGGCAGAGGACGGAGAAATATCCCTGGACATTCCAAAAGTTCCCTGATAGCCACACACAACCAAGAAGAAAACGAATCTTTTCCACACTTTTCCTAGAAGCCATAAAGGACAAGAATGTCAGAATCCACGGATTTCCCTACTGTATGAGGCTGACCACCGGGCTTTCTAGAACCCAGACTGTTGGGGTATTCTTGCATGCAATGAGCTGCTGTCTGCCTCTTCGCAGGTTAGTTATCATCTCTAAGCCCCAGTTTTCTTATCTTCAACAGAAGCAGTAGTTCTCAATTTTAGTGAATACCTGGGGGGCTTCTTAAAGTATTAATAGATCTCAGGGCCCTACCCCAGTGGTTCTGAATCTGTAGGTCTGCAGCAGGGTGCAAGAATTTGCATTTTTAGCTGGTTCCCAGGTGGTACTGAACCTGCAGGTTTGAAGACCACACTTTGGGAACCACTTTGGGAACCGGCTGTGTTCTTGAGAACTCCCTGAGGTGGACATGTTTGGTGTTTCTCCTGGGGATGGTCAGCTTCTTCAGAGAAGCGTCTTCCTAACTCATGCTCAGGGTCTAGGCTCTGCTGCCTGCATCTTGCTCACCCAAGAGGGCTTGGAGGGAAGGTCTCATCATGAGGTGGGTAAGTGTTCCTCTGATTCCCCCCTACTGTATTACGGTTGTGTGTGTGTGTGTGTGTGTGTGTGTTAGTTGCTTTGTTGTGTCTGACTCTGTGACCCCGTGGACCATAGCCCACCAGACTCCTCTGTCCATGGAATTCTCCAGGCAAGAATACTGGAGTGAGTTGCCATTTCCTTCTCCAGGGGATCTTCCCAACCCAGAGATGGAACCCAGATCTCCTGCATGGCAGGCAGATTCTTTACAGCCTGAGACACCAGG